GATGTCCAAGTGGTGAAAAGACTCTGTAATTGTAAACTAATGCAACCTTCACAGAATCTATCAGAATATCTTGTTAATTTAACTTGTTACATTCTTTTGGTTTGCCCCATTTAAATGTTACATTATTTAATTCAAAATCATAAATAAATTCTTCTTTACAATATTCTTTTTCATTTTCAGAAAGCTCCTTGTTTTTTTGACCAATGAAAAAAATAATCTTTTCTACTTTCTCTATCAGAATTAGCATTAGCATTATTATGAATTTCATACAAAATTTTATATACAAATGTCTTTCTTTCTGATGATAATGATGATAATAATCTAACATGTGACATTATATAAAAATATAAAATATAAAATTTGACTTAATGAATGCTTTCCTTTTTTTTGCGGAGAAAGTGAATAGTGTGTAACAAACAACCTTTTCGTACAACATTTTTTTACTAACAGGATTAATAGGTGCAACTTGAAAAACGAAAATTGCATTATTTAAAGAACAACTTTATCATCACCAGACTTTAGTAATTGATTTATCGTGATTCAACAATAAAAGAATTTCAGCATTCTTTGATGATTTAAAAGTGATAAAAATAGAAACCAAAATTAAAACTTACAAAAATGTGCTATGTAAAGATTGTTCTAAGTACCAATATTGATCAACCTGTGTTGCTTCAAACTCAGACACTAAAAACAACTCAAGCACGTTTTTATTTTATTACTGTGTATTACTAGTATGCGTAGTTAACTTCAAAGTCAAAATTCGAAAAACATCAATTTAACAAAATTCACACAGTCATACCTCTTTTATATCCCCCTTTGGGATTTTTGTGGGATATAACTAAAGCAATTGATAATTCACATGACTTCAATTTTTTAAATAAAATTTATTTAATATAACAATAAAATTAATAACGTTCTGTCAACAAAGACTGACATTTTGCCTTATCTTCAATACTATTTAGACGTTTTATTAACTCTTTAACATACTTAACATCTTTTTCTGTAGCAAATTCTTGTTCCAAGAATTTTTTAGCATTTTCAAGTACTTTCTTTCATTCTTCTATAGATATGACTGGTTCTTCCTCGCTCTCTTCACTCACATCTTCCTCTTCAACATGAACACCTTCTGAAACGAGAATGTCTTCAACAATATCTTCATCAGTAGGTAGTTCAGTTGTTATAACACCTGAATCAATAATAATAAATATTAAAATATATTATCCGTAATGATTTTTAATCATTACACATATTATGCCCAAGTCAAAACAAAGTTCTTTTATAAATGTAAAGAAGATACTTTGTCACAACTCACTCACTCACTCACTCACTCACACATAGTCCATCAATTAAATTTGTTGCACCAAAATGAAAATTTATTTATTTTGTTATATAATTTAATTTAAAAATCCTATATAAATCTTGACATTTTTTTATCAATTCATCAAAAGCAACTTTATTGTACAAG